TTCTTAGGATGGGAATATGTATCCTCTCTTCACACCTCAAAATAAAGCTCTTGTATTGTGACTCTCCATCGTGTAGCCTCAGTGAAACATAAATGTTGCTTCATGCGATTTTTATTAGATAATTTACTAGATACTTCAACAAGCCTTGTCTTCAATCATAACATATGTGTACTTCGACAAGATTTGAAGCAGAGGCATTTGTAATCAATTAAAAATTCATTTAAATATAAATGTATTAAATAATTCAGATTATATTAATTTATATTAATCCAAATAAATATTATGGATTAATATAATTAATTTATTATTTAAATTTAGATAGATATGAATTTAATTAAAGTCCGCTCCATAAATTTCATATGATATTTCACTTAAATCTGATTGGTCGAAGGGAGTCTTGTTCCAATCACAACTCCTCTATTCTAAAACTATAAATAGAGGTCTCATAATTCAGAAAAGAGGACCAACAATTTTAACAAGAAGATAGAGAAAGCTTGTGGGTCAAAGCTGCAGATTTCTCTACAAGTTCAAGAATTCAATCATTCAAGTTTCGAGAACGATCAAGATCGAGAACGATAAAGATCAAGATCGTCGAATTCAAGATCAAACTCGAAGCCCTTGGATTCAACTAGAAGTCAAGATCAAGTTAAAGTTAAAGTTCAAGTTCAAGTTCAAGATCAAGATAAAGTTCAACATAAAGTTCAACTCCAAGTTCAAGTTCAAGTCCAAGATCAAGATCAAGATAGAGATTAAGATCAAGATAAATTTCAAGTGCAAGATCAAGCTTTAAAGCCCTTGAATTTATATTTGTAAAGGAGAATTCAGAGGAATCATAGAGAATTTATCACTAGCATTTGAAATAATAAATTGATTGTTGCTATAATTTTTTGTTCCTGATTATTGTTTTCTCGACGTGAATTTTATTATCTACAACAGCGTATTAAATTAATACATGAATAACTATTATACAATATTTAGAACTTATCAACCAAACATAGTATAAGTCACTTTGACTTTTCAACCTAATAAAAAACTTTTTACCAAACATAATAAAACAAATACAATGTTTTATACATGAACAACATGCCCTCTTATACCATAACCAAACAGCCTGTAAAAGTATAAGAAATTGCGAGGGGAAATCACGGACACACATTGATATAGTTACTCGTAGATTTGATTATTAGCAGTTAATTATATTCGCTTATAAGTTAATCAAATATAAAATGAAGACATTAAAAAAATAAAGAAAGTCATATAAAGCAATAGAGCTATGAAACTATAGGTTTTTTCTCTTTAACCAAGAAAGTTTGAGTGTGATGGGTTTGAGATCCGGAGACGTTTCAGAATATAATTTTTTTGTCGAAAATACGTAAAATATAGAGAGCTTAGAGCACAAGAATATCAATATATTTCATTAGTACCGTTTAGTAACTATTACAAAACTGCTAAAAATAACGGACGTCATCGCACCAAAAAGCGACGAACGGCGTCGCCCCAAAAAGCGTGTCATATGTCACACAGTTCGTCTATTTTTAATAAAAATTATTTTTTAAAAAATTATTTTACAAAAAGCAAAGGACGATATCTCCTAGTGCGTCACTTTTTTCTGCAGATTTTTGCGTCAAATATATATATAATTAATAATTATTTATTTAATATATATATAGATAGATAGTAATTGTCCATCGCTTTTAATTAAAAATAATTATATATAAATTTAACAATAGTCACGCGGCCATCGCTTTCGAAATATTCTATTTTACTAATTATTTTTTTATGAAAGTGATGGGCAACATCTTTATGTCTGTTGCTTTTTGGTCAAATATTTTAAATAAGCGACGGATAGGGTCTCTGTGTCCGTCACGTTTTGGTCAAAATGTTCGATTAACTATTTAATGAAAAGCAATGGACTTAGAGATGTTGTCTGTTACTTTTCATTAAATATATGTCCCCCCCCCCCCCTTGTTCATTTGTCACATTCTCTTCTCTCCTTCTTCACTCCGTCACTGATGTCCCTCCGCCTATTGTGGCTGCCGGTAAGAGTCGTGAGGAGTTGTCGCCGCGAGCTTCACCTGTCGAAGCTGTCGCCACCACCTCCTTCCCCTCTCTCTTCATCTCTCCTTCTCCTTTTAAGGTTGAGTTTTCTTTATAAACAAAATTCAATTTGAACTATATTTGATGTTGTTTGTTATTAGATTATAATTAGTTTATTAATTTTGTGTTTATTGATTGTTAGTTTAAATTATGAATTATTATTTAGTGAATGAATTGAAAATTTTAATGTTAGGGTTATTTTGAATTAGGATATCTTAGGATTTGTTTGAATTTGAGTATTTCTTGAGTTAATTAGTTTAATTTTGGGATTGTAGGATTAGTTTGAATTAAGGTATTTAAGGAGTTGTTTGAATTTGGGTATTATTTGAGTTAGTTTGATTTTTGGATTTTAGGACTAACTAGAGTTTCAATTATTATTGAGATTTTAGGTGTAATAGTTTGAATTTGAGATTAGAAATAGTTAGCTAGTTTGAGTTTAGAATTTTAGCACTAGTTAGATTTTGTGATTTTAGGACTTGTTTGAATTTTTAATTTCAAGATTAGTTTTAATATTAAATTTAGGACTAGTTCAAATTATATTTGAGATTTATGACTAATAGTTTGAATTTGAAATTTTAAAAGTCACTTGAATTTGAGATTTTAAAGATTTGATTTACAACTTAATTAGAACTTATAACTAATTATAACTTGAATTTACTATAATTTGAACTTAATTAGGAATATGAAATTGAAATTTTGTTTACCTTAATTAATTAGAATTTTATTTCTATTCTTATTAGAACTTGGATTTTATTTGAATTTAATTAGAATTTTAAAGTATTTGAAAATCTTATTGACCTTAATTAATTTGAACTTAATATACTGATCAACAGTAGGGTTGGATGTTGCCTCATGTATTTGATGATTTGCGTTTGTATTGAAACACAAATAAGTTTAAGGCAATGTCTGAACAAGCCAAAAAGGCTAGAGGTAAAGGGTTGCTCGTTGCACACAGGGGTGCAAAGACCGCTGAAACAATTACAAGAGAGATTGTGAGTTCAAATTCAAATTTTTAATCAAATAATTAGTTACCTTGATTTTTATATATCGTTCTAAATTTTGAATTTTTATTTGTAGGAAAAATAATTGAGGTGCACTCCCATTGAACCGGAGGTTTTCAAGAACACTCAGGTAAAGAAGAAAAAATGAGTCGGATCTGGATGTGTGGATCGAGTAAAGGGCCGAATGAACTTTTTAAAGTTATTTAATGAATGATATATATTAATAGTGATTATATTTATAATATGTATATTATATTGATGTCAATTTTTATATTTAATATGAGGAATGAGTTACATTAGTACATCGCTGAGAATCTAGATAGTTAGGTTCAAATGACACATGAACTGTCCACCAAAATTTGGACAGAGAACGTAGAGGGACACAAAAGGGTAAAGTCTATGGTCTATGATATTGAAACGATGTAAGAAAACTCTAGTCAAACTTAGAAGGTATTAGATCGTCAAGTCAAATCGAGACACTTGATTGTGTTCAGATTGTTGCTATGTTGGCTCAAATAGCGCAACTTACATGGCACTAGCAGAGTCAACGGAAAAGAGTAGCTGAACGACAAAGCATGAGTGCGACCCTTCAAGAAATCAAAGAACAAGTATTGAACCTCGCTCGTCGGCTTACTACGTCTTCCCCTGCCGAGGACACCGATGACGACAGTGACGAGGATTATGATTTTGTACATCGCACTCCATAGTTTAGGTCTTTTTTATGAACTTTTTAAAACTAATTTTGAATAACTTTATAAGTTTTTGTTGTGATTTAGATGTTTTTGAAAATTGAATTAAGTTTGATGTTTTATATGTTGTGTGATGTTTAGATTGTTGTTTGATTGAGCTGATGAATATGAATTGAATTGAATTGATATGCATTTGCAAGTGGGTAGCAGAAATTGCAAGATTCTGCTGTCAAAAAATTGCAGAAAAAACGACACATAGGATGATTTTGTCAGTTATTTTTTTTGCATTATTTTTTTAAAAATAAACCCTGAAAAGCGACGGACACGGTCCTTTAGTCCGTCGCTTTTCTGGATATTTTTAAAAATTATTTTTAAAGTGATGAACAATGTTCTTTAGTCTGTCGCTTTACTGAGATTTTTAAAATATAAATTTCTACAAAGCGATGGACAATGTCCTTTAATCCATCGCAATTATGGGATTTTTAAAATATTAATTTCCAGAAAAGCGAGGGACTGCTTCGCTTATTGAAAATAAATAAATAAAAATATAAAAGAAGCGACAGACTGTGTCGTTTTTCTTTGGAAAAATAATCAAAACGCATTGCAGTTCGTCATTTTTTAACGACGTTGTCCGTCGCTTTTTGAAAAGCGTCGAGCCAAAAAGCGACAAACATAACTGCACCATTTGTCAATCGATTTTGACCATAAAAGCGACACAATCCGTCGCTTTTGACCGCCGTTTTTGACAGTTTCTTAGTGATGAATGTCCAATGCACAGTTGTGTTATAACTATTAATTATAGATAACAAAGTCATACATCAATCAAAAGAAAAGTTTCACTTGAGCCCTAAAGTAATATATTCAATTTTCTTATTCCGCGTGAAAATATCGTTAGTTATACTAACTAATATCTCTATGTTACTTATGTGATAACAAACACATATATCTAGCATATTTTTCCTTTGCCACATCATCGGCAAACAATCCTTTCCACTCTATGGGAAACAAGTTTCTGGCTTTTTTACGATGATGGTCATTTTACGATTTCAGTAATAAGTCGGGATTGAGATTCATCGAACACACCTTCAAAACTGTCAATTCATCACTCTTTAAATATCCTTGATTCATTATATATGTCACGTGTCTATCATTCGTCCTACCATATATGGTGGACAAGCTAAATATTTTACCCAATGTAGATACTTCCTTCATTTTTTGAATCAACTATGATAAAAAATTGAAAAATTCCCCAAAGACTATGTGTGACTTGGCTATTGGTTCAAGAAATGCCTCTTCGCCCAAGACAAGTATTAATACCCTTTTCTCACTTAAAAATTAAAGTTAATAACATCCTTCATTTTCGTTTGTCAAGTATTGTAAGAGATGAAGGGGAATGTCAAACATCATTCTTATAAGCGGGAGACGCCAATCACCGGAAGATGAACTTTCACGGTGTGAACTTTGACACGCGAATTTTGCTTATTATCAAGGAAAGGGTATGTCATCTCTCTATCATTAAATTTGTTGTCGTGGTTGGAAATCAAGATTGCACAACATTGTTTTGGAAAAAAACAGAGGCTACTTTGGTAAAACATAATTGGAGAAATCAAAAGATGAAAAATCTGAAGTTGAGTTCAATAATAAATAAATAAATAAAACTATAGCAATGTAGAAGGAATTTGGATTTTGCTATAGTTTTTATATTTCTATCAAATCAAACCAAGCAAAAAAGAATAACTACCAGTTTGGTTATTGTCGATTTGGTTCAATTTTTCTGATTTGTTCGATTTGGAAGTACTAATTCTTTTGAGAACGTATATATCTCGATAGACACAAAAACAATCTACAAAAAGGCTAGTATTGGTTCAGTCAAGCAATTAAATTGTATTAGAGTTATCATTACACAAACAAAGTGATTCATTTAAGAAAAAGGATAACTATTTTATGTATACAGTAGGTAAAGACTAAAATGAATATTGATGGACTTGGATTTGAGATTGTTATACTTGGGCTAAAGTGTTGTGCTTGAGAAAATGATAAAGTTTCACAAAATATTTTTAATTTATTTGTGAATAATATAAAATAATTATAAAATTTATATTTCTAATTTATTGGTTCGGTTTGGTTATTTTACGGTTGTTTTTTTAGTAAAACCAAACCAAATAGTTGAAAGTCAAGAGGGGGAGGGGGTGAATTAAAATTCCCTTAAGTCGACTTCCTGCTCTGGTAAGTCGACTCACCTGCACGTTAGTAAAACAGATAAACAGTAATAATAACTTATAGTAAGTAAATAACACAGAATGATTTTAAACTCGTTTGGATCATTGATGTGGTGCCTGGTCCAGTCCCATTGGGCTACAAGGGCTTCCTTAAGAGCTTGTTGAGAACTTGAGTGTTACAGAATGTTACGATTAAGAGTCCATCTGATATGCAAATCAGACCTTCTTCTCTGACACAACCTCTACTTGTATAATTTACACTCGGATCTTTCTTTTTCTTTTCTTTACAATTGTTCACTCAAAGGTGTACATAGTTTATAAAAGATAAAAGAAGATTACAATATAAGTTCAAGTAAAGTGCGTGATTTTCTTGGTCTTCTGAGGTCTTCATTTATAGGCTGAATATTAAGGCGTAGTTTAGCTCTATTTGGAAAACCCAAGGGAGTTTCCTTTGATCAAGGCTTTTGTAATGATATTTTGATTGAGCAAGATTTCATTTGATTTGCTTCGACATGCCAAGTTAATTTCTGCCTTGAATCAGAAGTTGGCTAGTTGTCATCTGCTAATTTCTTTTGATCTTGTTTAATTCTTTTTTCATGTGAGAATCTGCTTCCTTTGTTTGTGCAACTGCTTCCTTTGTTAAAGCGATTTTCCTTCCAGTCGTGAGATTAGAATTTTCGTGATTGGTTAGTTAATCACTGTTGATACTCCTTTCCATTGATACTTTGTTTTTTCTTTTTGAAGTTCAGTATCCATAGTGACTGAATTGTCCCTCATTTCTTGCGATGTGATTTGTTCGGTTTAGGATGTCCTTGATTGAGTCGATTTAGTTGATTTGCATTAATGCAGTAAATCGTTTTCTCTGCTTTCCTTTGCTAGTTTGATCTTCTCCTTAAAATATCACTAATTGTCTTTACTTCTGGCTTGATTCATGGTTTTCTCTTTTTCTTGTTGATTCTAATTTGATCTCTGCCCAAGTGTGCGAATGTTTTGTCTATTTTAAAGTTTCCTTGCAGTGTTGATCAGTCATATGTTCCTTTCCTTATTTGGTCCTTAAATTGATGTCTTCCATTCCAGTGCAGCTTAGACAATTACTCTTTTCCTTCTTGAAGCCACTTTTGTTTTGGACTTTTCTTTCTTGATTTTGTTGGATCTTGTCTGATCAGCAGATCTTGGTCCTCAACGATTTGCTTCTTCATCTTGCTTAACTTGGTTGGCTTCATTTATTTCCTTGTCTGGTCAGCATATTTTGAATCTTTGACTTAATTGTAAGAATCAAAATATATTGCTTTCCATGTTGGATCTCCATGATTGCGAGAATTGTGACTAGTGTCTTAATTGTCATTCATCATAATTTACATAACATTAAGAAGCTAACAATAGTATCAACTTTCAAAATTTTAAAAATCAAACCCAACCAAACTAAATCGAATATCAATTTTTTTTAATCGGTTTGATTCGGATTGCGGTTTGGTTTGGTTGTTAACCATAACACTGAACCACCCTATTTCTAATTTCAAAAAAATCAAACGGTATGCAATTTTAATTTTTTCCACAACGAGCTATGAATTTTACTATAAGCGCGTAAGTATTGGCGATAAAAAAATGGCTAACTTCAATAAATAGGGAAAGTATGAAGCAACGACTTAAGGAAAGAAGGATATTTTAGAACATGTGAGGTAATAATGGGATCCCTAAATTTGACTATGAATTGAGGGAAGTCTTTTAGAGAGTTTTCTTCCATGGTAATTTGAACAAAATCATTGACAACTTAACGATTTCCAAGTAGTTGACTCGTTAATTGGAAAACTACCATATTGAATGAGATCTCTTTGGAGCAAATTTTAATCCCTTTTGAATTCCAAAGGAAAGTGAATATTCTTTTTTGGTTCAAATGTTGTAATCAATTTTTTTCTTCTTATTCCTTGTGATACAATGTTGCACTAAGAAAAGGTGATTACTTGGTAAGACCCTTCTATTTCAAATATACATGTAGGTTACTTGCAAATAGTGGCCTAGATAGAATGCAACAACAAGAAATAACTACTATTGAAGCCACAAAAATTAGAACACATCCGTGAATATTTCAAGTCTCATCGTCAAGTTTCGACAGGTCTACACGTGAATAAATCTCGAAGATACAAATTTTATTGGGTTAACTTCATAGAGGAAGATTGAATTTAATTCATATTCATTTAGGTTAATTAATTAATTTGGACTTTACGCATTTTGGAGGGAAAAAAGTGGCTCATTTTGATAGCATATGTTGCCTTGCACAAATTAGTAGAGAGATATCAGTAATACAGTCAATGCATACCTCATTTTGGTGCATCAGAGACTGAGAATTATCATGAATATGTTTATGATCATCATTCATCAATTTCTGCAGCAGTTAAAAGGGGCAGCAGACAGATGAATTTGGGGTTAAGAAGAATCATAAGCCAGGAAATGGTTGAAGATCACATATGCCGTTGAAACACTGGCCTCAAATTATATCCGCATATGCCACATGGAAATGCGATTTCAGGGCCACAATATGTAAAAGCAAAATGGATACTCTAGTAATAATTACAAGTTAGTGATGCTATATTTGTATCAACCTGCACTTGATGTTCCTCTTACGCTACAAAATTTAGTTTCTGGCAAACGTTCTCGCTTCCAGCTAGTTAACCTGCAAATAGATAACAACTCAATGAGGTTTAAATTTTAATTCTCTCTTTCTCCAGTTTGTTGTATAGAACCAACACGGTATGGCATATATATTATAAATAAACAATTAAGATCTGAAGGGTAAGCTTGCCAGATTGATGATTGCCTGGATTTCCAACTTCTTTGCTGCTGCCGGATTTACTATTACTGGGCTGTTCTACTGCCTGATTCTGCATTTAAAAGCCAAGTTTTATAAAATGACAGATCACTAGAGAAAACATATACATCACATTGAAAGGAAAGGAGGAACATGCTTGGACTGTTTCAAGCTGCAATCATCCTATAGACACTCATTTAAGTAAAAACTCAATTTGGCAAGTTTCATAGAAGAAGCAAGAGTATCTGTTTCGTTTGGAGAATAAATTTAATCTAGCAACACAATCTTCTGTGAAGTGCTATTGACCAATAAGGCAATGACCAAGGTGAAAACAAATCGTCATCACAAGATGCAAAGAGTAAACTTGTTGTCTGTGGTCTCTACATGGACATAGATATCATGATAAGCAACAAGTAGATTTGTTCATTATGTCGACTATATTGACATAGTCGCTATGAAATGAGTTAAGGACCAAGTAGAAGAGGAAGGGCTTGCCTGCGGTAATGCAACTTGCGCTTGCTGGAGACCAAAAAACTGCTGATATGGATCACTAAAATTCGGAAGTCTTGGCTGGTTCGAATTATGTGAAACAAGTGAATTTAGCATTGGATCTGGCTGACTTGAGGCTTGCATTCTGGATGGATCTGGTACTGGAACTGGTGGCAAATGAAATTGAGGGATAGAAAATCTAGGACCCATTTGTGCTGCTGCAGCTGCATTCTGCATCGCTGTACCTGGTAATAGAGGTGGATATGGCACCATTGGCCTGTTCATGCCAATATCCATCCCCATCCCCATACCCATGCCCATTCCCATTGGCGGCATGTACGGCTGCATTCCAGGATACATCATCGGGACCATGCCACATCCCATGGACATCATCTGTAGACAAACAGATTTGATCAAACTACACTCCAATGCGAGTACAAATCCATTTCAAGACAATAACAAACAGGAGTACATGGCTTCATCAACAACTCAGTTCAGCATGCATATTAAACAACCAGAGATTAGTCGAGTAACTCCAATAAACTTCCTTGTCACTGAACAAATGTACACCAGCTCAGACAAAGTCTGAGCTGGAAACGCAGGTAAATAAGGAGAATAATGAACTTTATTTTTGACAAGCAAGGAATGTCACTTTTGGAAGAGGAGGTTAAAGGCAGTGAGAATATGATCAGTGATCCTTAAATATTCACGACGTAACATTGAAGATGTACATTGGTCTATTTTATCTATATATTCAAATACACTAAGGTGAAAGATATAGGTTTAGTGTTTCAGCGAAGGAGTTACATTTCCATTCACGTCCAACTGAAATTCAATAATAACACTTGAGCACCTTCATGGAATTTGAAGTGTGCTACAAACAAATTAAGCACTTAAATGCACATATTACAAGGTGAACTGCTCTTTTATGAGCAATGATGGAACTAGGAAAGAATTAACACTATAAAGATTATTGTTGCCTCATCTAACTCAACCCCAAAAGCTAACTCATAGGGAGGATTACCTAGTCCATATGAGCATATCAGCAGTCCATTCCCAACCAACTTGGACTTTAACCCACTCTAACTCCTTATACACCCAGGTCCATCTAGAGTGTGGATCAGATGCCCAAATGGGAATGGACTTGACTCTTACAACATGTAATCAGATGGAGAGATTATCTTATTCCAAAAGGTAAGCACGAAGAAATACAATAGATTGTTTGTTAACTTAGGAAAGAGATAGAAGTTGATTCCTACAAATCTGCTTTCTAAAAATGGCTATGTACTTTAGAGGAATAAAAGTCTATATACATTCTGTTAGGATCGGAAATAAGCAGGTGTAAACGCGGAAGCTAGCAAAGCAAACCTCGAGAGACCACGAATAAGAAGACAACGAGAAATATACCAAAAGACACAAAGATTTAACGTGGTTCGGTCAATCGACCTACGTCAACAAAGGAGATAAGCAATCCGCTATAAATATGAGAGTACAAAATACAGATGGAAACAACCTCCACCAATTCACTCAGAATACATGGGAGGTTCACACAAGTGATAACGTATCAAGCTTGTGACCCACAAATTCTCCCTCTAACCAAAACTCTCAAAGCCCTTAAGACTACGTTGTGAATGCTAATTAAGTTAGAAGGAACATGCCTCTATTTATAGAGTCCTAAACCTTTTCCTACAAGAAAAGGATTAGTCAATCCAAAACCTTTTTTTTACAAGGAAAACCTACTTATGGTAAGAAATTTAGGGCAAATAAAACCCAACAAATCTCCCCCTTGGCCTGAATTTCTGACAAAATAAATTTGTCCACCTTCTTGACTTAATTTTCAACAACTTGCTTCTCCTCTCCATAATCTCCTTTGCAAAATTTATATCTCAACACAAAGAATCCCTCTGAAACAATTTCTCCAACAAAATCTTCATTACTGTCAAAAAGGTTACTGCTAGAACTACACCGCCAAGATGAACACATCTTTCTAACCTGGTTCAATCATCGATTATCGAACCACTGAACCTGACTCCGTCATTGAATCTGGACCTGATACCACTTGTTAGGACCGAAAATAAGCAGGTGTAAACGCGGAAGCTAGCAAAGCAAACCTCGAGAGACCACGAGTAAGAAGACAACGAGAAATATACCAAAAGACACAGAGATTTAACGTGGTTCGGTCAATCGACCTACGTCAACAAAGGAGATGAGCAATCCACTATAAATATGAGAGTACAGAATACAGAGGGAAACAACCTCAACCAATTCACTCAGAATACATGGGAGGTTCACACAAGTGATAACGTATCAAACTTGTGACCCACAAATTCTCCATCTAACCAAAACTCTCAAAGACCTTAAGACTACATTGTGAATGCTGATTAAGTTAGAAGGAACATGTCTCTATTTATAGAGTCCTAAACCTTTTCCTACAAGAAAAGGATTAGTTGATCCAAAATCTTTTCCTACAAGTAAAACCTATTTATGGTAAGAAATTTAGGCAAATAAAACCCAACAAATCTCTCCCTTGGCCTAAATTTCTGACAAAATAAATTTGTCCACCTTCTTGACTTAATCTTCAACAACTTGCTTCTCCTCTCCATGATCTCCATTGCAAAATTTATGTCTCAACACAAAGAATCTCTCTGAAACAATTTCTCCAACAAAATCTTCATTACTGTCAAAAAGGTTACTGCTAGAACTACACCGCCAAGATGAACACATCTTTCTAACCTGGTTCAATCATCGATTATCGAACCACTAAACCTGACTCCATCATTGAATCTGGCTCTGATACCACTTGTTAGGATCGAAAATAAGCAGGTGTAAATGCGGAAGCTAGCAAAGCAAACCTCGAGAGACCACGAGTAAGAAGACAACGAGAAATATACCAAAAGACACAAAGATTTAACGTGGTTCGGTCAATCGACCTACGTCAACAAAGGAGATGAGCAATCCACTATAAATATGAGAGTACAGAATACAGATGGAAACAACCTCAACCAATTCACTCAGAATACATGGGAGGTTCACACAAGTGATAGTGTAACAAACTTGTGACCCACAAATTCTCCCTCTAACCAAAACTCTCAAAGCCCTTAAGACTACATTGTGAATGCTAATTAAGTTAGAAGGAACATGCCTCTATTTATAGAGTCCTAAACCTTTTCCTACAAGAAAAGGATTAGTCAATCCAAAACCTTTTCCTACAAGGAAAACCTATTTATGGTAAGAAATTTAGTGCAAATAAAACCCAACACATTCTATACCATATTAAGATATGATAATTAAACCTAACTCAACCCCAAATGTTAGCTTAGGAGGGGAAGATTATCCAAATCCATATAAGCAGATTATCAGTCTATCACCCAACCATTACAGGACTTTAACCCACTCTAACACCCCTTCACACCCCAACCAAATTGGAGCGCAATCCAGGTGCCCAACGGGGATGAATTTGGTTCAAATACCATGTAATCAGATGGAGCAAGTTATCTTATTCCAAAAGGTTACCAATGAATAAATACGATAGATGGTTTGCTAACTTAGGAAAGAGATAGAAGACGATTCCACAAACCTGCTATCTAAATACAGTTATGTACTTCACCGGAATGAAGTCTATATACATTCTATATCATATAAAGATATGAAACCTAAGTCTAACTCAACTTAAGACTGCCTAAATCCATATAAGCAGACCGTCAATCCATTCCCCAACCATTGCGAGACATTAACCCACTCGAACACCCCTTCACGCTCTGACCCAACTAGAACATGGACCGGGAGTCCAAACAGGGAAGGACCTCACTCACTACCATGTAATCAGATGGAAGAAGTTATCTTGTTCCAAAAGATAAGCAATGAATATATACAATAGATTGTTTGCTAACTTAGGAAAATATAGAAGATGATACCTACAATTGATCTGCTACATAAATATGGCTATTAACTTTGCTAGAAATGAAGTCTATTTACATTCTATATCATGTAAAGATTAAACATTTTGACCTAATTCAACCTCAAAAGTTTTAGCTTATGCGGAGAGGACTGTCCAAGTACATATAGGCAGACTTCACTCCATCACCCAACTAATATGGGACTTTGACCCACTCCAGCAAACACTAATGGAGCCCAAAAGTGTTTTTCCAAGCAGTTTTTAGGGAAGAAACGTTGGATGCCCTAAAGTGGCCCAGCTTAGTTATCCCAGCCCTTAGTAAGGAAGCATTAAACATTGGTCATTCTTATATATAGAAGATGAAGAAGAAGACCATGAAAATAACACCACGGGTTGTAGAATTAACTTAATTAGTGTAGAAACTAAAAGTTTTAGC